CCCACTCACCACGACACTCAACTCCCTCTCACCATGACACTCAGCTCCCACTCACCACGTCACTCAGCTCCCACTCACCACGACACTCAGCTCCCTCTCACCATGACACTCAGCTCCCTCTCACCACGACACTCAGCTCCCACTCACCACGACACTCAGCTCCCACTCACCTCCACACTCAGCTCCCTCTCACCACGACACTCAGCTCCCACTCACCACGACACTCAGCTCCCTCTCACCATGACACTCAGCTGCCACTCACCTCCACACTCAGCTCCCTCTCACCATGACACTCAGCTCCCTCTCACCACGACACTTAGCTCCCACTCACCACGACACTCAGCTCCCACTCACCACGACACTCAGCTCCCTCTCACCACGACACTCAGCTCCCTCTCACCACGACACTCAGCTCCCTCTCACCACGACACTCAGCTCCCTCTCACCACGTCACTCAGCTCCCACTCACCACGACACTCAGCTCCCTCTCACCACGACACTCAGCTCCCTCTCACCACGACACTCAGCTCCCACTCACCACGACACTCAGCTCCCTCTCACCACGTCACTCAGCTCCCACTCACCATGACACTCAGCTCCCTCTCACCATGACACTCAGCTCCCACTCACCACGACACTCAGCTCCCACTCACCACGACACTCAGCTCCCACTCACCACGACACTCAGCTCCCTCTCACCACGACACTCAGCTCCCTCTCACCACGTCACTCAGCTCCCACTCACCACGACACTCAGCTCCCTCTCACCACGACACTCAGCTCCCTCTCACCACGACACTCAGCTCCCACTCACCACGACACTCAGCTCCCTCTCACCACGTCACTCAGCTCCCACTCACCATGACACTCAGCTCCCTCTCACCATGACACTCAGCTCCCACTCACCACGACACTCAGCTCCCACTCACCACGACACTCAGCTTCCACACACCATCACGTCCATCTCACCACAACATGCAGCAGAGTGAGAACAAAGGGGAGATGCAGGAGAGCGCGAGTGGAGAGGCGTAGAGTGAGATGAGAGAGGAGAGTCAGAGGGGTGTGAGTGAGTGAGTGACTTGAGATCGACCACGGAGTGGATCGGGGGTGGTTGAGTGGTCTGGGGGCGGCGCGCTGGAACACCCGGAGTCGGGATCCGCGGGATTCCGGATCCACGACCTCGTTCTCACGCAGACCGCTCCGCCGCGTGCGTGGGTGGCTGCTGAGGATGCGGGCCGTTGCCATGGCCACGGCCGGCTGGTTGCCGTGACGACGGCGGCCCGTGACGACGGCGGCCCGTATAGCCGGCGGTCGGGAGTCTCCGGGACGGTCGCTTCCTGCGATTGTGACGCTCAGATTTATCGGGGGGGGGGGGGGGGGGGGGGGGTGGTGGGGGGGGGGTGGTGGGGGGGGTGGTGGGGGGGGTGGTGGGGGGGGAATTGAACTTCGCGGCCCCGGGGGCCAAGGCCGCCCCGAGTCGTCGTCGCGAAGCCCCGCACACTCTCCCGCTCGCACGGAATCAGAATCACAATCTTTATTTCGACTGGAAGAAATCCGACGAGCTGTGACGTTGCAACAACAAACAATGCAAAACAAACCGTCGGAGTGCAAAGTGTAGAAAGCTAAGCAAGTTACTAAATAAAAATGAAGAAATTATTTAAGTAAAACATCGCATAAGCACATCAATTCCTGCCGATATTTCAACCCCAAATGCAATCTTGGGCAAGGCAGCAACACAAAACGAGTCCCAGACCACACCAAGACAACACAACAGTCCCGCGATGAAAGTGCACATCAAAGTTGAGCTATCGATGCATGGGCCAGGATCATAGCTACACGACAATCACATTTGCGAATGTGATTTGTAGCATCTGGCACTCACCATCTGCTTCACGACCGCTTCTCAAGGGGGAGGGACCCTGGCACGCCGGGGCGCGGGAGGGACGCGGAGAAGCCCCGGAGAGATTACCCGCAGCCCAGTGACGTGGCCTCGTGCGGGGGGGGGGCTTGCACGGAGAGCTCAGAGCGTCGTGCGCGCACGGCGGGAGGGAATCGGTGAGGAGTAACCGGGCAGAGAGAGGCCACAGAGAGAGAGATGAACCAGAGGGAGAATCAGAGAGAGAGGGAGAGACCTTTTTGAATAACCGGGTCTTGAGCCAGCAATGAGTGGAGGTGTGAGAGAGGGTAACACTCCGAGGGTAACGTTCAAGAGATCCACACAAGTGGATTCAGTAATCCATTGCTGCATTGCCGTATCCTGGCCACCTGCTTCTTCTCAGGCAATCCCCCATGGAGACATTAACATAAGCAGTGTTCTGCTTACCTTCTGGGATCACAGTGGTATAGTGTGTGTTGGTGTGCTTGTGCTAACACGTGCATATCAATCAATCATTATTTATTTCACGTTCCAATGTCGCCTAAGTAACGTAGGCATCAGTGCACGATGATCTGAACCGGTAAAATCATCGCCACTGGGAGACAAAGGCGGACGGGCGTGGTGCTGGCCACCCACCCCCTCGTGTGCCGTCCCTGCATTCATAGCTGCTTGAGTGTACCTGAGTGTGCCTGGGTGTACCTGGGTGTACCTGGGTGTGCCTGGGTGTACCTGAGTGTACCTGAGTGTGCCTGGGTGTACCTGAGTGTACCTGAGTGTGCCTGAGTGTACCTGAGTGTGCTTGAGTGTGCCTGAGTGTGCATGGGTGTGCCTGAGTGTGCCTGAGTGTACCTGAGTGTGCCTGAGTGTGCCTGAGTGTGCCTGAGTGTACCTGAGTGTGCCTGAGTGTACCTGAGTGTACCTGAGTGTACCTGGGTGTACCTGAGTGTGCCTGAGTGTACCTGAGTGTGCCTGAGTGTACCTGAGTGTGCCTGAGTGTGCCTGAGTGTACCTGAGTGTGCCTGAGTGTACCTGAGTGTGCCTGAGTGTGCCTGAGTGTGCCTGAGTGTACTTGAGTGTGCCTGGGTGTGCCTGGGTGTACCTGAGTGTGTCTGAGTGTACCTGAGTGTACCTGGGTGTGCCTGGGTGTACCTGAGTGTACCTGAGTGTACCTGGGTGTGCCTGGGTATGCCTGAGTGTACCTGAGTGTATCTGGGTGTGCCTGGGTGTACCTGAGTGTACCTGAGTGTACCTGGGTGTGCCTGGGTGTACCTGAGTGTACCTGAGTGTACCTGGGTGTGCTTGAGTGTACCTGAGTGTGCCTGGGTGTACCTGAGTGTGCCTGAGTGTGCCTAGGTGTACCTGAGTGTGCCTGGGTGTACCTGAGTGTGTCTGGGTGTACCTGAGTGTGCCTGAGTGTACCTGAGTGTACCTGAGTGTGCCTGAGTGTACCTGGGTGTACCTGAGTGTGCCTGAGTGTACCTGAGTGTACCTGGGTGTGCCTGAGTGTGCCTGAGTGTACCTGAGTGTGCATGGGTGTACCTGAGTGTACCTGGGTGTGGCTGAGTGTGCCTGAGTGTACCTGAGTGTGCCTGGGTGTACCTGAGTGTACCTGGCTGTACCTGAGTGTACCTGGGTGTGCCTGAGTGTACCTGAGTGTGCCTGGGTGTACCTGAGTGTGCCTGAGTGTACCTGGGTGTACCTGAGTGTGCCTGAGTGTGCCTGAGTGTACCTGGGTGTGCCTGAGTGTGCCTGGGTGTACCTGAGTGTACCTGGGTGTACCTGAGTGTACCTGGGTGTGCCTGAGTGTGCCTGAGTGTACCTGAGTGTGCCTGAGTGTACCTGAGTGTGCCTGGGTGTGCCTGAGTGTACCTGAGTGTACCTGGGTGTACCTGAGTGTGCCTGAGTGTACCTGAGTGTGCCTGGGTGTACGTGAGTGTACCTGGGTGTACCTGAGTGTGCCTGGGTGTACCTGAGTGTACCTGGGTGTACCTGAGTGTACCTGAGTGTACCTGAGTGTGCCTGGGTGTACCTGAGTGTGCCTGGGTGTACCTGAGTGTGCCTGAGTGTGCCTGAGTGTATCTGAGTGTGCCTGGGTGTACCTGAGTGTACCTGGGTGTACTTGAGTGTGCCTGAGTGTACCTGAGTGTGCCTGAGTGTACCTGAGTGTGCCTGGGTGTACCTGAGTGTACCTGGGGACTGGAGGGAGACGCGGCTTTGGAGGTAGATAGGGGCCAAGCCGTGCAGCGCTTCGTCGGTTCGGAGAGCAGCGAACTTGAATTGGATGTGGAAGCGGACCGGCAGCCATTCAGCTAACCCGCCCGCTCATGCGGGCAGCTGCATTCTGCACAAACTGGAGCCTCCACGTACGTCCAGATGTTCATCCCCCGTCTCTCCCACCCCCTGCGGTCTCCCCATCTCTCCCCATCTCCCCCATCTCTCCCCATCTCTCCTATCTCTCCCCATCTCTCCCCATCTCTCCCCATCTCTCCCGTCTCTCCCCATCTCTCCCCATCTCTCCCGTCTCTCCCCATCTCTTCCCATCTCCCCCATCTCTCCCCATCTCCCCCATCTCTCCCCATCTCCCCCATCTCTCCTCATCTCTCCCACCTCTCCCCATCTCCCCCATCTCTCCCCATCTCTCCCCATCTCCCCCATCTCTCCCCGGTCTCCCCCATCTCTCCCCATCTCTCCCCATCTCCCCCATCTCTCCCAATCTCCCCCATCTCTCCCCGGTCTCCCCCATCTCTCCACATCTCTCCCCATCTCCCCCATCTCTCCCCATCTCTCCCCATCTCTCCCCATCTCCCCCAGCTCTCCCCATCTCTCCCATCTCTCCCCGGTCTCCCCCATCTCTCCCCATCTCTCCCCATCTCCCCCATCTCTCCCCATCTCCCCCATCTCGCCCCCATCTCTCCCCATCTCTCCCCATCTCTCCCCATCTCTCCCCATCTCTCCCCCATCTCTCCCCATCTCTCCCCATCTCTCCCGTCTCTCCCCGATCTCTCCCATCTCTCCCCATCTTCCCCATCTCTCCCGTCTCTCCCCATCTTCCCCATCTCTCCCCCATCTCTCCCGTCTCTCCCCATCTCCCCCATCTCTCCCCATCTTTGCCCGGTCCCGGCAGCCGCCAGCTGCAGCAAGGGGGAGGAACGGCCGAGTTGGAGTCGGGGCCGGGGCGCGACGGCCTGGGCTTCGAGCACTCACAGGTGCAGCTTTGTGTCTCCCACTCTCTGAGTTGTGCGTCTGCGGGGTTTGTGTCTGCGGGGTTTGCGTCTGTGGGGTTTGCGTCTGCGGGGTTGGCGTCTGCGGGGTTGGCGTCTGCGGGGTTTGCGTCTGCGGGGTTGGCGTCTGTGGGGTTTGCGTCTGCGGGGTTGGCGTCTGCGGGGTTGGCGTCTGCGGGGTTTGCGTCTGCGGGGTTGGCGTCTGCGGGGTTTGCATCTGCGGGGTTTGCGTCTGCGGGGTTGGCGTCTGTGGGGTTTGCGTCTGCGGGGTTGGCGTCTGCGGGGTTGGCGTCTGCGGGGTTGGCGTCTGCGGGGTTTGCGTCTGCGGGGTTTGCGTCTGTGGGGTTTGCGTTTGCGGGGTTGGCGTCTGCGGGGTTGGCGTCTGCGGGGTTGGCGTCTGCGGGGTTTGCGTCTGCGGGGTTGGCGTCTGCGGGGTTGGCGTCTGCGGGGTTGGCGTCTGTGGGGTTTGCGTCTGCGGGGTTTGCGTCTGTGGGGTTTGTGTCTGCGGGGTTTGTGTCTGCGGGGTTGGCGTCTGCGGGGTTTGCGTCTGCGGGGTTTGCGTCTGCGGGGTTTGTGTCTGCGGGGTTGGCGTCTGTGGGGTTTGCGTCTGCGGGGTTTGTGTCTGCGGGGTTTGTGTCTGCGGGGTTTGCGTCTGCGGGGTTTGTGTCTGCGGGGTTGGCGTCTGCGGGGTTTGCGTCTGCGGGGTTTGCGTCTGTGGGGTTTGTGTCTGCGGGGTTTGTGTCTGCGGGGTTGGCGTCTGCGGGGTTTGCGTCTGCGGGGTTTTGTCTGCGGGGTTTGTGTCTGCGGGGTTGGCGTCTGCGGGGTTTGCGTCTGTGGGGTTTGCGTCTGCGGGGTTTGCGTCTGCGGGGTTTGCGTCTGCGGGGTTTGCGTCTGCGGGGTTGGCGTCTGCGGGGTTTGCGTCTGCGGGGTTTGCGTCTGCGGGGTTTGCGTCTGCGGGGTTTGCGTCTGCGGGGTTGGCGTCTGCGGGGTTTGCGTCTGCGGGGTTGGCGTCTGCGGGGTTTGCATCTGCGGGGTTTGCGTCTGCGGGGTTTGTGTCTGCGGGGTTGGCGTCTGCGGGGTTTGCGTCTGCGGGGTTGGCGTCTGCGGGGTTGGCGTCTGCGGGGTTTGCGTCTGCGGGGTTTGCGTCTGTGGGGTTTGCGTCTGTGGGGTTTGCGTCTGCGGGGTTTGCGTCTGTGGGGTTTGCGTCTGCGGGGTTTGTGTCTGCGGGGTTGGCGTCTGCGGGGTTTGCGTCTGTGGGGTTTGCGTCTGCGGGGTTTGCGTCTGCGGGGTTTGCGTCTGCGGGGTTGGCGTCTGCGGGGTTTGCGTCTGCGGGGTTGGCGTCTGTGGGGTTTGCGTCTGCGGGGTTTGTGTCTGCGGGGTTGGCGTCTGCGGGGTTTGCGTCTGCGGGGTTTGCGTCTGTGGGGTTTGCGTCTGCGGGGTTTGTGTCTGCGGGGTTGGCGTCTGCGGGGTTTGCGTCTGTGGGGTTTGCGTCTGCGGGGTTTGCGTCTGCGGGGTTTGCATCTGTGGGGTTGGTGTCTGCGGGGTTGGCGTCTGCGGGGTTTGCGTCTGCGGGGTTGGCGTCTGCGGGGTTTGCGTCTGCGGGGTTTGCGTCTGCGGGGTTTGCGTCTGTGGGGTTTGCGTCTGCGGGGTTGGCGTCTGCGGGGTTTGCATCTGTGGGGTTTGCGTCTGCGGGGTTTGCGTCTGCGGGGTTGGCGTCTGCGGGGTTTGCATCTGTGGGGTTTGCGTCTGTGGGGTTTGCGTCTGCGGGGTTGGCGTCTGCGGGGTTTGCGTCTGCGGGGTTGGCGTCTGCGGGGTTGGCGTCTGCGGGGTTGGCGTCTGCGGGGTTTGCGTCTGTGGGGTTTGCGTCTGCGGGGTTGGCGTCTGCGGGGTTGGCGTCTGCGGGGTTGGCGTCTGCGGGGTTTGCGTCTGCGGGGTTTGCGTCTGCGGTGTTTGCGTCTGCGGGGTTGGCGTCTGCGGGGTTGGCGTCTGCGGGGCTGGCGTCTGCGGGGTTTGCGTCTGCGGGGTTAGCATCTGCGGGGTTGGCGTCTGCGGGGTTTGCGTCTGCGGGGTTTGCGTCTGCGGGGTTTGCGTCTGCGGGGTTGGCGTCTGCGGGGTTGGCGTCTGCGGGGTTGGCGTCTGCGGGGTTTGCATCTGCGGGGTTGGCGTCTGCGGGGTTGGCGTCTGCGGGG